CCCAATTTCTGAAGAAGGGTCTAGGCCCGAAACGTCAGCTTTCCTGCTCCTCTGATGCTGTTTGGCCCGCTGTGTTCATCCAGCTCTACACCTTGTTATCTCAGATTCTCCAGCATCTGCAGTTCCTACTATCTCTGAAACAATGTTATGATGCTGCTTCCTTTGGAACCAGGAATTATATACCAGGTAGACAAATGGTAAATCTGAGCAGAAACACTTCATTGACGATGCTGACATTTCCACAGCAAGTTCTAGACTGGACCCAAGCTCTGCACCTCCAGGTCCACCTGACCAGCTCTTCTTTGGGACAGCATCCCCGACTACATACATAACACTTCTCCCCCTTTATTTTTAAACTCCTATTAATAAACACGTATACACAACAATTATCAAGGTTGTACATATATTGGCTACAATGCCTGTATATAGTTAGGAATATTTACAAAAGCATAGCAACACAGAAGAATGACCACTCCTCCATTATACAAGACATTCCATTCGTAAACTACACTGACATGATTAATCTCTCTGGGGTATGGTGGCTCCTCATCTCAGGAACTCTTTCCAGTGAAGTATCCCAGACTTCAGAAAGCTCCTGTTATTCCACAGATACGTCTGTCTAATTGGCTGTTATTGCCCTGTGACGCTGCTGACTCCTGCTCCTCGAGTATGGCCACCATGGCTCGGAGACACGGGACTTGGTCAACATCACTGGTCCCACCTGGATCAGCTCAATATTCTCAGAGACCTCCCCTCTCTGGTGAGGTGGGGGCAACCAGCTAGTCTGTGTGGCACCTCCAGACCAGTTCATCTCTAGTCGGTACCCCATATGACAACTGTCCTGTCATATCCCACTGCTGGGCCTCATTTTTCCCCAGATGTATAATACCATTAATCTTGAATTCCTGCCCTTCTGACTATCTGTCCCTCTTTATTTGACTCCACTACCTCTCTGGTCTCTTCCAGCTGCAGCAAATCAAACATGATTGTCAGCTGGTGGTTGAACAATAAGGACGCCAGCGTATATTAGGTCATCGCACGTGGTGTGTTCCTATACATGGTGAGGAAGTTGTTGACTCGCAGGCATAGCGACCTTTCCCTTGTAAAGTCTTTAAGGTCTGCTTCAAAGTTGGAAAATTGCTCTCTCCTTGGTTGTATGTTGCTAGGCGATATTGAGCCAATCTCACATGTCCAACTCCATGACTTTCCAGGTACTCCTCAAAGTCTTGCGCCACAAACTATGGACCATTGTCACTCACAACGACTTGTTCAGGGTTCATGAAACTAGCAAACATTTCATTCAGTGAGTCTATCATGTTTCCACTGATACCGACTTTATGACTGCACCTGGAGCCACTTGCAGTGGGCATCCACAAGCACTAGTAACATCTGTCCCTGGACTGGTCTCACGAAATCGATGTGATTTTTCTGCCACAGTGTTCGAGGTCATTCCCATGCGTGAAGGGGCGATAATGGCAGCGCCTTTCTGACTAAATGTGCAGGCTTCGCATGATCCAACTTTCTCCTCAATCTGCAAGTCCACATTCAGCCACCAGAAATAGCTCCCAGCGATCTTTGCTGTGCCCTTGGTGCACTTATTTCAGCATCTTACCTCTTAACTGGGGAGGAATAACAACTCTCACTCCCCACATTAAACACCCATCCGATATGGATAACTCCCACCTCCTGGACAGGCAAGGGTGTAATTCTGGGCAGTTCCCATGACTGATCCTCCCTCTCAGGACTAAGTCCAGCACTCAGCTCAAAACTGGCTTATTCTGAGTAGTGTTCTGCACCTGATTCGCTGACACAGACAGCCTCTCATCCTGGGAAAAAAAACATAATTTTCAGGTTCCAGTTGCGAACATCTTTATTCCCTGGAATTGGCAGCCTTAACAGGCAATCTGCATTGCTATGCTTCTCTGCCTGTCAGTATTTGAATTCATATGAGCACACTGATGGAGCTAGAGCCCTTCTCTGATAGAAATGGGCCAAAAATAGAGGTCAGCGGCTTGTGGTCTGTCAATAGCATGGAGTGCTTACTGTAAAGGAAATGGGTTAGCTTCATAATGCCAAACACTATGCTCAATCCTTTTCTTTCAACTTGATATTAGTTCTCCTCCATCTTCGTTAGTGACCTCAATGCGAGCGTAATGTGCCTTTCCTCTCCATTCAGTAAGATATATGACAGCTCAGCGCCAACCCCATAAGGTGAAACATCACAAGCTAACCATAATGCAACTTCAGGTATTGAGTTAACACTGCTGGGTTTTTGTTTAAGGTTTGCTTCACCTCCCCTTAAGCCACTTCACATTTCTGGGTCCATTTCCACAGGCGCCTTATTCCCACAATTGATGCAGGAGTTTTAGCACAGTTGCCAAATCAGACACAAACCTGTAAATGTTCAAGTCTCAAGAACGATCTCAGTGCAGCCACATTCTCTGGTCTCGGGGCCTTCATGATAGTCTCCCATGAAAACTGTGATGTGTCACTATTGTTAGCAGCAGCTGAGACACCTGCAATACCCCTAGCTTTAGGTTGGCCCACGAAAAATCCATTTTTGAAAATTTCTTTCCCCCAGCCAGTCCACTGATTTGGTCTTCTGAGTCCAAAGGAGTATTGATCCACATTCAGGGCTGGGTTGACTGTGACCTTAAAGTCAACACAAATCCTCACCAGCCTAGTAAGACCAGAATGACTGGAGTGGCCTATTCACTGGTGGTTACTGGTTTCAATACTTCCAGATTCAGCAGCCGTTCAAGTTCCACCTTCACTTTAGACCAGATAGCACAGTGTACCAGATGCACCTTCCAACTCCTAGGTCTTGCCTCTGGCTTTAACTGAAATTTAATTACGACTCCTTTCATTGCCCCCAGGGTTTCACTGAAGACACGAAAACAGATTCTGTGGAGAAAAAGTCAGAGTTAACGTTTCGGGTCTGGTGACCCTTCCTCAGAACCTCTGATTTTTTTCTTCCAGATGCTGCCAGACCTGCTGAGCTTCTCCAGCAACTTTGTTTTTGTTCCCGATTTACAGCATCCGCAGTTCTTTCGGTTTTCATTGAAGACATCCTTGTACTTGTCCAGGATCTCTTGCAAGCTCATTTTTGAGTAAGCCTATTACCCACACCCTAGTTCAACCTTAATTTTTGTCATCAGGAGTGTCCGAATAACACAGGATATACATCTTTTACTGTATAAAGTGGCAATTCTGTACACTGGTCCCTTAACAGTACTTTCAGCAGTACATAGGCCTTCAGTGACACTATTTGTTCCATGTATATCTGT